CTTGAACAAAGCGGAATCAAACTATAAGCACAACAGAAAAGAATTACTTGCAATTGTATGGAGTGTTAAACACTTTAGACCATAATTTGTACGGAAATAAATTTTTCATTTATACGGATCATAAACCACTCACATGGCTATTTAATGTAAAAGATCCCGGATCAAGAATCGTTAGGTGGAGATTAGCATTAGAAGAATATAGCTATGAAATTATTTATAAACCAGGTAAATTAAATCAAAATGCTGATTGTTTAAGTCGTCCTCCTTTAACCATATCTGAAACAAATATTGCGAAGAAAACAAAAACCGGCAACAATCACCTTACAAATAAACAAATGAGTAAAGAAATAATGGACACTTATTACAGTTCTTATCTAAATCCGAAACTATATTAATAACAAATGATAATAATAAAAGAAACAAATGAAAAGATTACATCATTTTCACAAAATTAGCATTGTTTGTTTCCGTAGATTTAAATTATAATGAGATCGTTCAGAAACAAATAAAATAAACAATTCAGTCATATAGAAAAATTGAAAGCCAAAAATCCAAGACTAAATGACATTATTAATATTTCTGATCAAAATAAAAACTTTTATTACATATTTATAAAAAAAAATTATTGGGACAATACCTCTTATGAAGATATATTTAATTCCCTAATAAAATTAAGAGACTGGTTATTTAAACGATAAAATATTAAAAATTTGCCTACCCAGAATAACTTTTTCGCTACGATAAATTAAGTTGGGGAAAATGAAAAATTAGATCTATGATTAGATTTATTTTTAGAAAAACAGATATATACTATTATCATATATCATAGATATACTAACACATCCTGAACCTGAGGAAATAACTACAAATAATTACAGAGAATCACACTAGTCCTACGGCTAGGACACTCTGGTTTTTCATCTGGACATACAATCGTATAAAAAAACATTTCAAATGGAATAATATGAAAAATGATATTAAAAACTTTATAAAAACCTGTGAATCTGTCAGAAACATAAACTCGTTAGACAAAATTTCGTAAAGCCAATGGAGATAACAACAACACGCTCAAATCCATTAGAAAAAATTTATTTTTAGATATAGTAGGTCCTTTACCTTTAACCGAGTCAGGTAATAGTTCATATTAACATTACAAGATGACTTAACCAAATTTTTCTCAAGCTATGCAATTCGAATCATGAACCAAGACTATCGCTGAAAATCTGGTTCGTGGATTTATTTGCAAGTTGGAAAAACCCGATATATTAGTTATGATCAAGGCCGAGAATTTTACTTCCAAATTATTTTCTCAAATCGCCAAGCTTTTTAAATCAGACATATAATTGTACTGCTTATCATCCAGAATCAAATGCTGCATTACGAAAGGAGTCACGCTACTTTAGCAGACTACCTTAAACATTATATTAAAAGCTGATCCATCGATTGGGACGAATGGCTAGATTTTGCTATGTTTTCATATAATACAACTAATCATACTTCAACAAAATTCACACCATATGAACTAATATTTGGATATACACCTAATCTACCTAGCAGTATATACGACCAGTAGAACTCAAATTATACATATGAAGATTATTTAGATAATTTAACACTTAACTTAGAAAATCTCATGAGTTAGCAAAAACGAATCTATTAGAATCTAAAGTAGTCAGTAAAAAATATTATGACCAAAAGATTAATGACACCGTTTTCTTAGAAGGACAATTAGTATATCTCAAAATGAGCAAACAAAGGAAGGGTCAACCAACAAACTTACACAAAATTATAATGGCCACTTATAAAATTCTAGAGATAAATTCTCCTGTCAATTGCACACTTTTAGTACAATACAAAACCCATAACAAAGTTCACATGAATAGATTGAACACATGCTTTTGTTTCAGGTATACAATAATATGGCTGACAAATAGTGAACAAATTCACAAGAAATATACCAATACTCCTACAACAAATCACCTGGAATCTATTAACCGAACACCAATAAAATGTTCAATTTATTGAAACTCATTGGAACATATTAAGTCATATTCCTTTACAACCTTTTACAGACAAATTAAATTTTGTAGATCTCACCTATCAAAAAACATTAAGACTGTGTCAAAACAAACCAGTTCTTATTGAATTACGCATTATGCGATACTTCACTAAAACTCTTAGGACACAATCATACTAGACTCTTTCAAGATGAACAAACTTAAAAAAACATAATTCTGCATGAACCATTGTAGACCAACACGCGCTCTTATTTAATGCAATTGGATCTGTTTGCAGGACACTATTCGGTACCTTAGACAGTGATGATGCTGAAAATTCAATACTGCTAATAACCACAAGCATGAAGTACGAGAAATCATCCTTCTTAGATTTACTAAAACACAAATTCTGTAGTAAGAAAGCCACGATTGCAAATTTTAATAACTCTATTACAATCTAGACCGAAAAAAAGTGATTTTTTGATATAAAAATTTTTGAATCAATTACCAATTACACAGATAAATGAATAATAAATATTTTAATTTAGATTTAAAACAAAAAATTGAGAACATTTTACTTTACTAACTTTCTTTATAACAGAATTACAACAAGAATATTCTACTTTAATAAACGTTATTCTATTTGCAAGAAATAAATAAACCTTCATCCTTCTGTTATAACACCTGAGCAACTAATTCAAGAATTATCTAAAACGGTAACGCATTTACCTAGTTACATCGACTTATCCATTTCCATTGACTATCGATATGCTCATAAAATAATTTTCGAGTATCATTTTACTTAAATTATACTATTTTGATAACAAGATTTAAATTACGGTTAGTATACCTTTGGTTAGTATTACCTTATTCTCATTTTTAAACTAATATCTCTTCCTATAATTCATCCAACATTAAAGGAGACTTACCTTTATTCTTCCATCTGTCAAATTATCTTGTTCTTTCAGAAAATAGAAACATTTATGTTACTATTGATACATTAGAAGACTGTTATCATTAGATAAAGAAAAACTTATTTGCAAAATCCTGATTACTTTTCCGATTTTACACCACTAATCAAATTGTGAACTGAATTGTTAACTTCAATAACAAACATACCATCTAGTTGCGATTACTCGTATATTCAAACAGAATATGAAATTTGGCATATAATTAAACAAACCAAAATTCTTGGATATATGTTTTTACCCAAACCAACAGCATTTAACTTTAAGCTGTCAGACTAGTACGCCAATATCTATTGTTTCTTTCAAACACAGGTATTTTTTCTACTTCGAATAATGACAAAAACTTACAACCGGATCAACTATTTTGATATCTGTCTCAAATCCAAAAGAAAGTAATTTTCAATCTATCATTCCAGATTTATCCCTTCCAGAAGTCTGTTGTGATGATATTAAGATAAATAATGAATCCAAATTACACCTTGTTCCTTACAATTAAATAATCTCGATCGAGATGCATTAAATTTAGCAAGCCATAAAACTAGATTATTTAGAGAAAATGACCTCAGAAACAAATATTAATTTTTCAGACACAATAAAAAATAGTTCTTATTTCATACTTATGCAATCTTATTTTTGATTAAAATGTATGTTAACTTTATATTTTATACAGGATAAATAAATATTGTTTACCCGACGATTCGTTAGAAATCCGTCACCATAGTTGTCAACAAATTACAAATTGTTTAACACTAAATATTATGTCAAAGTAAACGAAAACCATGTACATGAGGACAGATTTAAGTATAGATTGTAAACACTAATAAGACAATAATTTAGTGAATCCAAAAAAGTCGTGAAGAGACTAGTTTCACAGAGACTACACCGATAAGACGAAGTGAAGACTATCGAGACTAAAAGAAACTATTAAATGTGTTAAAATAAAAATAATATGTATACAAATGTTTTATTACCATTTAAATGAAAATTCATTTTACAATTATCTTTATTCTTAACAAAAAGGACGGTGTATATGTACCTACCTAACTCTACATGTAAGATAATTAAAGTATCTATGTAATTTCTATATAGTTTTTAGTCACCTGGGATATGTTATTTACAATTATGAAAAGTTCTCATGTATTATCACTAATAATTATTTGCTGTTAGAAATCAGAATCAATACTCTTCACAAATATTTTTCCTATTTAGAATAAATAGTTTCGTAGTTTATTCCCTAATACTTCGTATCTATGGAATAATAGTAATTTATTTCTCTTATTTCTTTGTTCGATAAGCTATCCCGTATTTGCTATTTTAATATTAATATTGAGTCCAATCTCTTGTACTCAAATCCATCCAGAAAACATCGTTAAATAATTGTAGATAACAGAACTTATAAATTCATGTGTTTAAGAAATAACAGACAGAGTGTAATTTTCATCCTCTAATATAATAAATTTATACATGTCAATATATTCTGTTTAATTCCAAAACA